CTTGCTAATTCTTCTTTTGATTTCTTCGGTGCAGTTATTATCCCAAGTTAAAAGACTTCCAAGGTATTCGAATCTGTTGACATTTTCAATGACTTCTCCAGATATCTTAATCTCTTGGTTATTGTCTTTCTCCCCGAACACCATTATTTTTGTCTTTTTTGCGTTTATAATTAGTCCAGCGGGCTTCGCTGAATTGTTCGTGGTTTCAATTTGCTCTGTAAGACTATTAAAATTTTCGTCGATAAGATCTATATCATCAGCAAATCTTAGGTTATTTATTATATTTCCATTGATGTTGACTCCACAAGGTTTTTGTTTTACCATCTCCATTATTCGCTCGAGGTATGTTATAAATAGAAGCGGAGATAATGGATCTCCTTGTCTAGTTCCTACGCTAGTATAAAACCATTCTCCATCTTCCTTATTTATTCTGATAGCTGACTGAGCTTTTCCATAGATTTTCTTTAATAACCTGATTAATTTATCGTCGACACCATAAGATTGTAATACTGCCCACAAAACTTTGTGATTAACAGTGTCAAAAGCTTTCTGGAAATCTATGAAGCAATTATAGATTTTTTTACCTTTCCTTTTTGCCTTTTCCGCTATAAGTCTTAATATTAGGATTTGATGAACAGTACTTCTATCTTTTCTGAATCCTGATTGTTCTTCAGAAAGATAGGGATTCAATTGATATTGAAGTCTGTTTAGTAGTATTATTAAAAATATTTTGCTAATATGATTAATGAGGGAAATAGTTCTGTAATTAGAACATTGTGATAAATCCCCCTTCTCATGTAGTGGGATCAAAATTGACTTTCCCCAATCTTCTGGAATCGCTTTGCTATGCCATATTTTATTACAGAGTTTGTGAATTTCATGTGCTAGTGACTCTCCACCACTTTGTAATAATTCAGCTTGGATTCCATCTAAGCCAGGACTTTTATTCTTTTTTAATGATTGTATGGCTTGTTCCACCTCCAAAAATAGGATATCATGAGATTCTTGCTGAATTGGTGGGAAAATTTGTTCTAATTCTTTTATTAATATATCTCCTCCACCATTATCTTTGTATAAGTTACTACAATATTGAGTCCATCTTTTCTTAATCGCTTCTTTCGATTGTAGCAAATTTCCATCATGACTCCGTAATATATTTAATCGTGGTGCAAAATCTTTCTTTTTTAGTGTTTTTATTAAGTTATACGCTTTCCTGGTGTTACCTACTCTTAGACCTTTATCAATTTCTGTATACTGTTCCTGCAACCATTGTTCTTTATCATGTTTTACTGATCTTTTTACTGAATTGCAGGCTTCTCTATATTTATTGCTATTTTCTATTGATATATTCTTTGTTAGCTTTGCTAAACGTTTCTCCTCGACAAGCTTTAGTGTTTGTGCGGAAATCCATGGTTTCCTAGATGATTTTATTGTAGGAATAACTGTATTCCCTGTTTCTTGGATAGCATTTAGTATTTCTTTCGAGTGTTCTTCGATATTGCTATCTGGTTGAAACTTTTTGATTTTTTCTTTTAATAAATCGATGTAGCGTCCTTTGGTAGTAGTGTTGTTCAACTGGTTTATGTTTAATCTGCAGTTCTGATTTCTCTGATGGTATATCTTCTTCAGGTGCAATTTGATGTTGCATAATACCAGTGAATGATCTGAACCGATATCTGCACTTTGGAATGTTCTGCAGTTAATTACAGAAGATCTCCATCTTTGCTGAACTAAGATTAAATCGATCATATTTTTATGAACTCCGTCAGGTGATTTCCAAGTCCATTTTCTATCTGCTTTATGCTGGAATCTCGTGTTGCAGATGAATAATCTATGTACTGTTGCAAACTCTAGGAGACGTTCTCCACGATCATTCCTGTCTCCAAAACCGTATCTACCCATCACGGAATTCCAACCAGTGTTATCGTTGCCAACTTTTGCATTCCAATCGCCAGACATAAGAATAAGGTCTTTCTTAGGTACCTTAGCTAGAGTATTCTCGATGGAATTGTAAAATGCCTCGATTTCCTCATCTGAAGATGCAGAAGTTGGCGCATATACATGAATTGCCGTGATTTTAAATGCAGTTGCATTAAATCTTGCTGTGATTACTCGTGAGCTAACTGGATTATATCCAATTAAAGCATTTTTAGCTTTCCTACTTAATAGAAATCCTATTCCATTTGCATGAATGTTTTCTTCACCTGACCATATAAAATCTCCAGTAGCTGTTTCTTCTTTTCCTGTCCATCTAGTTTCTGAAACACCAATTATATCGTATCTTAAACGTTTTAGGTCATGTCTGAGCAGATCTAATTTTCCTGCTTCCCATAGAGTTCTAACATTCCATGTTCCGATTGTTAATATTTCTTTCCTTAATCTAATTTCATTGGTGCTAGTTACAGTGTTATTTGTTTTTGAGTTTTTGGTGTTGGAAGCTTTTCCAGTAACCAACTTTTCGACTCTGCCCTGGTCACCCGACAGAGGACGCGGACCTTGTTGACCCGGGCGACGTCCGAGCCGGTATGGATTAAGATCATTGACTTTCATCTTTTGGTTTCTGCCGTCTTTGAGTTTTTTACAGATAGCGGTATCTGCACCCCTTTCTATTCAACGCTGCTCCTTTTTCCGGTTTTGTGACCGGCACAGAAGTCACAAGATTGCGACTCCCATGGTGGAGTACCCTGGCTAAGGCTTATAGAAACTTGGCTCGGATGAACCTTGCTTCGGGCGGCCTTTACTCGCCGTATCATCTTGCCGTCGTTGAGTTTCTGTGGCATTTTATAAGTGTTTTGGTGCCACCCAAAACTCCACCACACCCTGTTGGCAAGATGGCTGAATTGTCCAGGACTGCTTATTTGATCAATTACTTGATCTTATTCGCAGCTAACCATCATACTAATGGCCATTCCACTATCCGCAACATGTGGACCCGCTTGGTAGCATCCAGCTTGCCCTTATTAGTATAACACAGTAAATCACCTTTATTATCAATAAACCAAGTATCAAAACCAATATCACTATTTGTTTTTATTTTTGGATTGATTTTTTTAAAATCATCTTCAATTACTTTAATTAATTCTTTTATTAATGCAGCACCATCCTTATGTTCATTTAATTTGGGTTCACATTCAAGACGAATTGCAGGAAGATTTTGTTCAACAGCATAAGTAATAGCATTTCTCGTGATTTTAAATTTAAAATCTCCTGTTTTAACAGTTGCATTTTGTTGGCTATTATTTAATTCGTTGTCCATTTTATCTATTCGTGAAGAAATGTTGTTGTAATTGGATGTAGCTGTCGCTGTATAATAAGAATTGGTTATTGTACGGGTTTTTCTTTGACTTGAGCGAGGTCTTTTTGGTGAACCATATTCCTTGATAATTTTATCATATTCTTCATCACTAGCTGTTCTAATTCTTTTCTCACCTTGTTCACTTCCACTTGGTGTTAAACGTAATTCATATTCTTCATTAACTTTCTTTAAGAAAGTTAATTCTGTATCACGTCGGTCTTGAATATCATCATTAATTGTATTAATATTTTTATTTGATTTTGGATCTTTATTCGACATTGTTAATTATATTACTAAGTTTTTAATTAATAATATATTAAATAGAAAAAAAGAGTCATGTGTTCACCCACGTGTTATTTATAGGTGAACGAGCGTGCCAGGAAAGAAAGAAAAAAAGAGCATACACATACATTGTGAACAGCTTTGCATTCGGTTTTTCATCTTTCTCAACAGAGAAATAATGTATTCTTATTCGATATGATGATAAATATTTCTTTTGGATGATAGCACGTCAAAGATAGAATGAAGTTTCATTTTTGTATCAAGTTGACAAGAATAGATCTTCACTAAAGTTCAAGCAAAAGGAAACCAATCTTTGCAAAATGCTTCGAAAAACAATCGAATGCTGGTGAACATTATATAATCGAAATTATAATCAATATCAATCGATTACTATTGACTATAAGTTTGATATTCTTGCACAATAATCAGGTCGCTTATTTTGATTATAATGAATTATAATCCTATATAAGAATTTTGATCGATTACGAAATGTGATTCTTATTGATTATTATCTGGGCTTTAGCTTTGCATTAGTTGTGGTGAAAACCCTCATATCTAAGCCTTCAACCCTATTGCGATTGATCTTTTTATATTATTGTGTTGGTTTATAAATGATATTATGAAATAAAAACAAATACAACCCTTTGCCATGTAAAAAAAGAAAGACGGAATCAATCGACTAAACTCAGATTTTTTTCTTCTTTTTTTTTTTACATGACAATCACATTTTTTGATTCTATGCTAACTGTTAATCGTATTTAGTCTCCTAGTACTTGTTAACCTGTTTCAACTGTTTATTGCTTATAATCTTTGATGAAAAGTTGTTCATGTAATATTCGAGGGACTATTATGTGAGACACGATGTAGCTGCTCTTGCCAATCACAGGAAGATTGTTTTATTCCATCTAAGGTGCACCAAGGGCAAAACGTAAGCAAAAAAAAAAGTTTTTTTGTTTTTCACATCATTTGACAGAGCTCGTCGAGTTGATTCCGAATATGTATATTTTATTGTGTTTTGATCAAGTTTTGGGTCTGAAACCTTGAAAATACTATAAAAAATTGAAAAGGGAAAAAATTTATTGTTTTGGAAGAAAACGTGACATTTCGCTCCTTTCCACTAAAGATAGGCTTTCAAAACTGCTTTATTCCGACTCAGCATCTCAAACTGAGTATTAAAATGTAGCCTCAAACGAACTTCAACATAGCCAAAATTTTCCATGAGATCAATTAGGATGAAAACGTGACTCATAGATACTCATCTGTTGTAAACCTATCTAGTCTTTTGTTTGAAAAAAATTTCTAAATATTTATACACCAATCGAATCGTCATTCGACAAGGAAAAAAGTACGCATGGGTTTTAAGAAATTTTGTTCTCCGGCTGAGACATAGAGCATTTACTAAATCATTAACGATCAGGCTAAATTCGACCCCTGAATTGCCATTTTTTACACCAAAACTCAATCAGAATGCAAAATTAATACCATATTCGGAATCAGCATAAAAATTTGAGTCGAATGTGATAGAAAATAATCATTTCGGAACACTTTTATTTTTTTTCATTTGCGACAGGAACAACGCACCCAAGATTTTCATCAGACAACGAAAGTCGTCCGATTGATTCGAAACTCATCATATTCGACTCAAATTTTTATGCTGATTCCGAATATGGTATTAATTTTGCATTCTGATTGAGTTTTGGTGTAAAAAATGGCAATTCAGGGGTCGAATTTAGCCTGATCGTTAATGATTTAGTAAATGCTCTATGTCTCAGCCGGAGAACAAAATTTCTTAAAACCCATATGTACTTTTTTTCCTTGTCGAATGACGATTCGATTGGTGTATAAATATTTAGAAATTTTTTTCAAACAAAAGACTAGATAGGTTTACAACAGATGAGTATCTATGAGTCACGTTTTCATCCTAATTGATCTCATGGAAAATTTTGGCTATGTTGAAGTTCGTTTGAGGCTACATTTTAATACTCAGTTTGAGATGCTGAGTCGGAATAAAGCAGTTTTGAAAGCCTATCTTTAGTGGAAAGGAGCGAAATGTCACGTTTTCTTCCAAAACAATAAATTTTTTCCCTTTTCAATTTTTTATAGTATTTTCAAGGTTTCAGACCCAAAACTTGATCAAAACACAATAAAATATACATATTCGGAATCAACTCGACGAGCTCTGTCAAATGATGTGAAAAACAAAAAAACTTTTTTTTTTTCTTACGTTTTGCCCTTGGTGTACCTTATATTGAAACACATTTCTTCACTGTCTTTCTACTTAATCTTCCAGAAATGCAATGAAGAACTAGTTCATGTATTATAACAAGACGTTATTGATATACAGTATTTGTTTTGTATATTAACAAAGTCCGTTGCGATTGGTAAGGGAGAGAGCTATTCAAGTTTCTACCTCTTTTTCCATATTCTTTTTAGGTAGTGTTTCGCAAGAGTAAGATTACAGAGATGTCCATCGCGGCGCTGCCGCTGCCGTTGCCGCGATGGCGGTGGCGGCGCGGCAGCGGCAGGTTTTTTTAAAAAATCACCGCGGCAGCGGCGCGGTAGCGGCAGATTTTTTAAAAAGTCATCGCGGCAGCGGCGTGGTAGCGGCAGGTTTTTTAAAAAACCATCGCGGCAGCAGCGCGGCAGCGGCAGGGTTTTTTTGGAGAACATTGAAAAACTGTATGAATTTAATAGAATTTCAGGATTTACAAATGAAACGCCCTGATATTGAATAAATCTGATGGACTAGTACCCATATCTCTGGTCAAATATGGTCACAGCAGTGAAATTAGAAACACTTTTTTGAAAACCGTCGCGGCAGCGGCGCGGTGGCGGCACGTTTATTTTATAATTCATCGCGGCAGCGGCGCGGCAGCGTTTCTTTTATAAGTCATCGCGGTGCGGCAGCGTCGCGGCAACATTTTTTTATAAACCGTCGCGGCGCGGCAGCGGTGCGGCAGCTTTTTTTTTCTAAGGCCGCGGCGCGGCAGCGGCAGATTTTCAGCCGCGATGGACATCTCTGTAAGATTAACTTCAATAAAAACTCTTCATCATTTTTTTCAAAACTAAAAGAAACCATTGCAGACTTATAAGTATTTGAATTATAACAAATTTATATTTACACACAACTATTATAGAGAAATTGATACAGTTTAATCAAATATCAGATTTCATTTTGGTCTTTCTTATAAATTTATGTCTTATTCATTCATCGATGTTTGGCCGTCGAGATCGTTTTGTATTACGTTATTGTCTTATTACGATTCTTCTAATCTCAATAAGTATTTCTTTTATTTTAACTACATCAATAATTCAACGAAAAAACTTATCTATATCAACAATTGTTGATCGAACAATCATTCTCATTCGTACATCATATCATTGTCAGTTACGTTTAGATTATCTTCTACAAAGTTGGATACCATCAGATTTGTCTCAACAATCAAATATATATTTATTAACGGATAATATTTCAGAATATTCTAATAAAAAAATATTAAACTCATTTCAAAATATAATTGAAACAAACTGTCCATCAACACATCATCAATTTGATTTATGTTGTAAAACAGCACATGAATTTGAATTATTTTATAATTTATCTCAAATAAATTCTAATCTTGATTGGATGTGTCGTTTTGATGATGATCAATATGTTAATCTTAATAATTTATATCAATTTTTATCTCAAATTAATTCATCTAAATCATATTATATTGGTCGAACAAGTATTAATAATCGACTAAAAGTTGGTAAATATAAACGAACATATACATTTGCAACTTATGGTGCTGGTGTATGTTTTTCACGTGCATTACTTGAAAAACTTCGTCCATATGTTAATAAAACAAGTTTACCACATGATTGTATAAAACGTGGAATTTCTGATGACGTTTGCATAGGTTATTTAATAGAATTTATTCTTAACATACCCTTAATATCCTTAAAAGAACTTTTTCATTCTCATCTAGAAAAACTTGATAAATCATTTCGTTATTTTAATATAAATCATTTACAACATGCAATAACATTTGGTTTTGCTTGGGATCGATATAAACTTTCATGGTTACCAATAATTCATCAATTAATACAATTAATTAATAAGGGAGAGAAACATGCAGCTAATATCTTATGGTTATTTTTACAAAACTATGAAAAAGAACATCCAAATAATTTAACAAATCAATATGATCAATCATGTACTTCATATACGTTAAGATCAAAGCAAACAAATAAATAGAAAATAAGAACTAATAAAACCATATGAATTTATTTGTATGATATTATCATGAATAGTAGAAAAAAAAAATTTCATGTGATTCGAAAATAGTTCCATAATATAAACTTGTTCATTTCTGTTCCCTACAATCATGGCCTAAAGCTGCCAACATTGAAGGTTGTCGCCTTTTTCTGCAAAGAGAGAATATGTTTCTTCGAACAGAAGGAAAACAAATTTCGATTGGGCTTGCTACAGAAGCTACTTTTCATTTCAACTCTTCCCCATTGTTCCAACCACCACTGGACTCCTGGCATGAATGACAAGACAATTGCCCAGTTAGTTGAGGAAATGCTGTTCTGCCGTTAAAACGATGTTTAATATCACATCGTTTAAACAATGGTATATTGACCAAATTACGCGTTTATCACAAAAAACGATTTTGTATGTCATAAAGTAATATTATATTCTTGTCGTTTAAAATTCTAATTGTAAATGTCATAAATAGTGATTCGTTGACGTTAAAACCATAACTTTTTATTATTTCATTTGTCGTAAACGATTCTTTACTTGAAAAAAAGGTTTAATATTCAAGAATCATCTTCTTCTTACTTGTAACTTGACCATTCATCTAATTTTATTAATTTGATGATGGACAATACACGTTCGTTCTTCTTCTCAATATCTCAATACATTCCAATGAGTAGGTCTCAATTTGTTTTCGAAAAAGCATAAGTTAAATCTTTAACAAGTTAAAATATTTATTTAAAGAAATGAAAGT